GAGCCTGCGATTGTCCAAGATGCTTGTAAAGAGCTTCGAGTGCGACTTGACGATCCACAAACGCAATGGGGTAGCCATGTCTTAGTCATGGTCAGCAAGTCTTGAGGTATTTATATGCAAGCAGGGTAAGTACCGGTCATGGATAATTCTCGGGGCGTTGTTCTTGGTGATAAGCGTGCCATTTTCTTTCCAGTAGTAGGCATCGCGAAGGGGCTCTGTGGCCTCTATGATGTCGTCGAAAACTCCCAACTGGTCCAAGATGCGCGCACCGTTCGGAATGATTCCGATAGAAGCACCGACCTGCGGTGCAATCTCCTCATGGGCCTCCAAGACGACGAATTCCACCTGTTGTCGAAGCAGGCAGTGGGCGAGGGTCAGGCCTGCGATGGACCCGCCGACAATCACCACGCGGAATCGTGGCTTCGAGAGCTGGGAGTCTGTCATCGTTCCAAAGAGGCCGAGTCAGTGTGTGAACAGTATGTTTCTGGGGGTAGGAAGTGTGCTATGACGCCTACTTTCGCCTTATATAGGCTGTGGAACTTCTCATGTCGATAACAACCGAACTACCCGGCACAAGTGGGCCGTTCTCACAGCCAGAGATGAGGGGAATCAGAGAAGTGGGGATAGTGGGTTGTTCCAACCAGTGCCACCTGGTACTTTGAGTATATTAAAGCAAAGAGAGGAAGGTAGGTAGAGAGTTGGTTATTCGCCTAAAGGGTGATTGACATGTGGGGTCTCCGGCGACCCACTGCAGCTGTATTGGTAAGTTACCGAAACTTGGGACTGCGGCAAATTTGATTACTTTACCAGTAATCCGAGAAATCCGTGAAACCCGAGAAACCCGTGATGTCGATCTACGAATCGTCCGCCTTCCATTGAAGAAGTTCTGACTTCCCCTCTCTTTAGGCACACTCCTTTTCATCACAACCAAGTAGCCCCGGGCATCGACTCTCCACTGAAGCTTGCATCCTGATGAAGTCTCGGCCCCTGACTGTGACTAATCGAGTTTCCTCTTCGCCGCTGCCGGATCGGAAGCGGCGGGACCAGAAGCCTCGAGTGCTTCTGTCCTGTACCTCATGTCGTGAGAGAAAGTAGGATGCATGCAACTCATACGCACCCGCAGCGCTACCTGGCACTAACTCAGTTGATTACAGACTTCGATGTGATCGCGCTCGTCCTTGTTCGAACTGCCGAAATCGAAATCATGGCACCTCCTGTCACTACGTTCAAGCGCACACGCGTGCTGCCCATGTCACTCGAGAGCATTGTGCACCACACGGTGAGTGCACATGGTCAAATCCTGAGATAGGCAAGGATAAGCGCTCCACTCCTGGGGCCCGACTTCTTCCGTCCGAATCGAGTGGGACTCGATTTGTCCATCCAAGCCACTGGCGGGCTCTCATGGATGACGCTGTGTGTGGTTACCTGGGTCCTCATTCCCCACTTTCGAGCTGATATCGAACACAGACAAGGAAACTGGAGATCAATCCCAGCCATGCTCAAATCAAATCAAGCGGCAATTCCGTGCACTTGTTGTCGGGTCTCTCGCAGAATGTGAGCATCGACGAATTGATAGTCTCGTTGCCCTCCCGCACAGTGGCGGATAGACTCGTGGCATCATGCCTCGAATCCTCAGAGCCATCCTTGAGTACGTTCCTATATGTGTCTGCAAGACTCCGACTGACCTTTTCACTGCAGTGATCATTCATGTTCCGACTTTCCAGACTCAGGTATGCCTTTCAATCCCGTTCATGGATTTCGCGAGACGTGTCTGAAAGCTCTAGTGTCGCCAATTTTGGCAGTCACCTGCGACAGTCAGTCCCGCCTGGCTGGCCCTACTCTATGGGGTGTTAGCCTGCGGAGTGTGGATCGAGCATTTTCTGGATCCCATCATGGCCTACTCCGAAGTACCGCAGTCTTTCTATGCTCTCCGAGAAAAGTCAGCTGTCGCACTGTCGAAATCAGATCTCACTGTCCCTGGCAGGTTCAAGGTTGAAGCAACGCTGATATACTTGGGAATAGAGTACCTGCAAAGCAATGAATCGAAAACCGGCGTATCGATTCTTCTCGGGATTGTTTCGCGATTAGCGACCATGATGGGATATCATCAGAGCGCCCATCTCTGCCATCCCCCTCTACTTGCCTTCGAAGCAGAGATGCGATGCAGGGCTTGGCTGTTGCTATCAGTCATTGACAACGTCGTTGCCTCGCAAACAGGACTTCCAAGAGTCATCTACCAAGGCCTCACAAACTCAGCTCGCCCACGCAACTTACTCGACGACGATTTCAACTCCACTATGTCAGTGCTGCCCTCATCCCGATCCACAACCGAAACACTTAGCCACGTTGTATATATGCTGGCTCTTGACGATCTTTACTCAGTAGCCAATGAGATCGCAGACCTTGCCGCAAAAGGCCCGATCTCTCCCGACAGCACTGCTCGCCTGGGTCAGCAACTGGACGCTCTGAGAAACGGCCTCCCGTGTTCTCTGCGTAGGCGTTCTCCAATCACTCCAACGATGGAATATGACAAAGTGATCATGCAACGCACCCTGGAGATAGTATACCAACGCTCGCGCTGCATCTTGCATCGTCAATATCTTATTTCATCTGAGTCAAATCCCGACTTTGACGCTTTTAGATGGGCATGCGTGGATGCAGCCCGTTGCGTTCTCGAGCAGCAGTGTCTCCTGTTTCAAGAGGCCCTGCACGGTCCGCGCAATAGAAAGCGTGTGTGGTTTGGTGCCTCCCGCTCGGTGTCTGATTGCCTCACTGCGGCCATGGTGATATGTCTAGAAGTAATCAACAGGACGAGGGTCACATCTCAGCCTTCCTTGACCAGCGACGCATCTACAGAGCTGATCCATACCCTCCACCGGACATACTTGAACCTCAAACAGACCCCAAAACCACCCATAGAAATAACCAAGGCAGCTGAGATTCTGGCCACAATGCTTGGTCGGATGGGTTATGCTGTGACCTGGAACAGTAATTCAGACGAAACTCATCCTTCTACTGACCCCAGTAACCCTAAGATATCCAACCCTCAAGTTCAAGAGACCACGCCCCAGAGTGGCCTGCTTTCGTCTCCTTGGCCCGTCTTCGACGACTTGGTTCATGGTGATTCTCCGTTCGAAATGTTTGACTGGGTAAGTCCTTTAACGACTTTCTTCACTTTTTACTTCCTTGGGCTAGATTTGAGCCTTTATGCAATCCGAACACAGGTCGATCTGGATCTATGCTGATTCATAAGCAGGCTTACTGGGACCGGGAAATGCGGCAGCTCAATGGGGCATTCTATGATATCATGTAGGAAGCATGTGGCTGGTAGCCGGAAGTAAACGCCCGAACCAGACCCCCAACGCCCATGTTTCAAAGCTTCTCGGATCCACAAACGGATCCCGGAAATCAGCCCACGGGTTTCCCGCACGTATTTTACTCAGGATTCCCGGGTTCCGCGTTTCTAGAATCTCGGAAGACTCGATTGCCGAATCCGGCGCAAGTCTCCGTATTGTACATGTGCCCCGGGGACTCTAAAGCTTAGGATCAAAGACCAACTTATTAGCCGCCTCATGCAACATCTTTATCTATACACCCTTGCTCGCAATCCACTCCATTCTTTGAGTCTTCGAAATGTCCGAACCTCTTGAACTCATCATCCACCACCTCCGCATCTCCCAGTCCGACCGGGTGATTTGGCTCTGCGAAGAACTGAGTCTCCCCTACCAGCTCAAATGCTACGATCGGGATCCCGTGACTTCCTTCGCCCCGGCCGCCTACCGAGCCCTGCACCCCATCGGCACCGCCCCCGTCATCCAGGACGGCAGCACCGTCACCCTCGGCGAGACCAACGCCATCTTCGAGTACCTGCTTGCCAAATACGACCCCCAAGGCAAATTGACTCTTTCGCCCACCCACCCCAACTACCCGGACTACGTCTTCTGGCTCCACCACACCAACGGCGGGATCCAGCCCCCCCTCAACGACCTCATGTTCGCGCGGATGTCCGCTCTGCCCGGAAACAACCCGGCCACCCAGGTCATGCAGGACCGGCTGGACCGCAGTCTGGCGGCGATGGAGGCCCAGCTCGCCAAGTACCCGTTCATCGCGGGCGAGAAGTTCACGGCGGCGGACTGCATGCTGCTGTTTCCGCTCACGACGTTCCGGATCTTCATGCCGTATAGTCTGGAGGCGTATCCGCATATTGTCAGCTATTTGGGGCGGATCGGGGAGCGCAGGGCGCTTGTGGTGGCGATGGAGAAGGGGGACCCGGGGTTGAAGAGACCGATGGGCGCTGAGGGTGCTGTTGCTGCTGTTGCTGGTGAGGAGGCTTCTCAGAAAGCGTGAAGTAAATGTGTCATTCGGGGAATCCTCCAACGAGTGTTAAGACGGGGATATGGCCGATTATTTTTCGATTTGTATATTATGAAACATCGAGTTTGCCTTCGAGGGTCCTTACAACTGGGATTGTACATATGTAGATGTTGATAAAATTATGACGCTCAAGGACGGGCTACATGAAACCATATCATGACATCTTGGTGGTTAATGATAGCCAATTAAGTTCTTCAACATGTGAGACAGCCTGGTAGATTGCCGAGTCACATAGCCAGACTACTGAAGAACGTCGACAATGCATAACCCGAAGGGCAATTGCTAAGCAGCCTATCTAGTCCTTTTTGTCTGTTTTCCATGTACAAGACGTAGTATCCGCCAAGGACGTGTATGATCGCTGGATTCAGACTACATGAGGCTATCTGAGCGGAGCTATCAACATGGCCGCCGACAGTATCCTCGTAGCTCCTGGTAGTCCTTCGTATTCAACAAAACATATCCTGATCCTCGGACGAGTATCATCCAACCGAGCTGAACAGTAGGCAAGAAGAGTACAAGAAATAAACAACTAAGCCCAGCAATCCGTGTCCACCTTTCTCCATTCAACACAATCTAGGGAGTTCGATAGTCCCTGCTTTCGATTCGGGTGCCAACGTGAGCTTGAGCTAATTGAACCAATACCACTCTTCAAGACGCTGGAAGATCTGCAGAATGCTCATCTGATGACTGTCTGCGGTCCGCATCAGGCGATAAACGTCGGCCTCCAGCTGCCGGGTCCGCGCGGCTTGGTCCTGGAGCTGCTGTTGCAGATGCTCAACTCCGGCTTCCAGGTTGGTGAGGCGTTGGTCGAATGTCTCCATTGTACGTCGGGCTGCGTTGATGCTGTTCTCGATCTCCTCGGGGAGAGTTGCGTCGGGGTTGGTAGACGCAGGATGGATTGTCTCAGTCGAGTTGAGTTGTGTCATGTTTGGCTTGGGAGGGTTGGGGTGGGTCGTTTCGTCCGCGATGGTATCGTGGTTCTCGGGCAGTTTAGGGGTCTCATGTCCGTCCACGGTGTCCTTAGGGACGGTGTTTTGTTCTTCAGGATTGTGTGGGATGGTGGATTCCTGTTCTTTCTTGGTCTGTTCGGCGGAGGTTTCGTGGTTTGCACATTGAGTGTTGTGAGGAGCATCACGCGTGATGTTATCGCTGGACGATGGGTGTGAAGACATGGTTGGGGCTTGGTAGATGAAGTGCGGTGAGTTGGGTTCTGAGTGTGTAGTCTGTTCGCAGGTTTTTCCAACTTGTAAGATAGATTGGATTGGAGAGATTGGGGGTTGCTCTCCAAAGACTTGGCAGGAAGTAGGAAGATTCTACTGATAGTAGAGCTGAGATCGAGGGAAGAAGAGATTGTACAACAGCTTTTGATAGTTGTGAGATGAGCCTAGTGGGTTTGAAGAGTGTAGGGGATATCGTTGCCTAGGTTGACTAGCGTGTATCTGTTCTGTTCCCAAACACCAACTTGAGTGACGGAATGGAACGGAGGATCAAGGATTGTGAGGGGATGTGGATAAGTGATGAATCTAGGCTACGTGAGGCAGCAGGCTATCTGAGTGCGGGACTATCAACATGGCGTGGCGGGCGGTGAGGAGCTGCCTTGCCTTCGAGGCTTCAGGGTTGCGGACAGGTTTTCATGTAGTGAATTGACTCACAGCAGTCGGGACATGCAGGTTTTCATGCCCGCAGGCCGATGTCAAGAGTTTCGCGGGGATCACGAACATGGAAGGGGGCGGATATTCACTTCTGTTGTCAGGGTCACTTTATCTTTGTTGGTGGGAAGTTCGATCAGCACGTGGTCTCCGCGAGGTGCAAGAACTTCTTGTCGACGATTATATGCGGTGTCCTTCGACTGGATACAGGTGCCTCAATGCCTGCTCTGGCACAAGTTATTGAAGAGAGGAGGGTCAGTCGATTTGATGTTGAAAGGATTCTTTGAGTTGGGGTAGCCAGGGCGTCCGGACCATCGAAGGTGATCTGAACATCATGCAGTAACATATCATGCTCAAGTTCAAATACCACTTCTAGCTTAAGTATCTCGCTGGTCCTGTAGATCGATATTGAGAAGTGGTTGATCGACAAAAGAACTCGACGCCAGTCAAGGCGCCTGCTTGCAGTGGTCGACGCATGTTCTATTGCGCGCATTCAACTTGCCAGAGGTGACACTACTTATCAGATGGTTAGAATCAAGAATAAATGCACCCTGGGGTAATGGACTGCTCGCTAAAGGACTCAAGCTGGCCAGAACCAGTCGGAAGAGTCAAATTCTGGGATGTTTGTGCCGACTCTCAGGTCTTGTGGCGTTAAGAAGCAGTAGTGGTCAAATTGTCAAGATAACGAACTGTTGCAAATGATTATTCCACGAATGATGCGCCCTATGAAACAGCAAGTGCTTGAGGTCCGTGAAGAAGGCGGGCCCTACTACACCTCGATTATATAAGCTCTCTGGGGGACCCTCCTCCACTCGGCTGACAAACTGAGGAATCATAGCCGAATCCGTCGGACAAGGTAGGTATTTTACGTCGGGTCTCTAGCATTAATGATCGATTCCAGATCTATAGTGGAAATCGCTAATGTGTCACTTGGCACTAACTACCTGTGCGTAAGAGAGAGTTACATCCCTAGTATCTGCGCCTTATATAATTGCATACCCCGGGTGCAGCAGCAAATCAGGAGATAACAATAATTTTAATATGCTCTGAATACTATGCTCTGATTGACTTCAGCATGAAAAATAAAGCTGCAGCATATGTAGTATCTTAATCCTCCCAATTGAGGCTACGTACTTCCTTGGGCTCGTGAAAAGCACTAGAAAGCAAGGCAACGCAGTATCAAAACTACGATACCACATACAAACAATTTTAGGTACTGTATGTCTCCGACAGTGGCCTAACTAGTTAGGGCTGTCGTCGGCTTAAATTTGTCAGCACCGTTCGGAAAATGGACAGCGAGCGGACTGGATCGCCGCCATCGGCTCGGTGTTCTGCCCCCCGAGGCCGCGCCTAACCGTGCAGAACATCGGAGTGTTGCTTCCGATTACCTAGACTGAGTTAACCCAGTCTAAATTAACCAACATATCCTTATTTAGAACATGGGTAATCATGATCTCGAATCATACCAGGCCAGCCAAGTCGCAATCCTGGCGATCGACACGTTCACCCCAAAAACTGCGAGATCCCCTTCGCCGGCCACCGCCAACCCGCATGCGGCTGCGCTCGAGGATAGTTGTGTCATGAAAGAGTTTAGGGCGGAGGGAAAGGCGGATTACTGTCTACAGGTAGAGATCTTGGGAGACATGAGGCTAGATGGTGTTGTAGTCGGACTAATGGATATACAAGATGAATTCATGATCGAAGTTAGGGGATACGATGGACTGGTGTCTGTATTGATTCGGTTGATTCAGATTTGTGATGCCATTCGTTGCTGCCCCTGCCCAATTGATAGTCACATAGATAGAGGGAAACAGCACCCGAGTCGTGGTCCGAGGGCCGCCTCCGACTCCATGCAGATTAATTCTCCTTGCCCTCACATCTTTGTAATAGGCCCTGGCTGCATCACTGCGCACACCTTGGGCATCTACAGTATACGGATGCATCGCAAATCCCCTCATTGACCCAGTGTTCAGGTCTCGGTTCCAACTTACCCCAAGGGAAGCAAGTGTACGGTTGAGAGCCGCCGTGAGATCACCCCTTTGATCATCCTGAGGCATAATGTCCATGAAACCGAGCTGCACGGGCCCGCTCTGCCCGTGAAATTCTGGGACAATTGACGCACCGGCGGCACTCTGCGTGCTATTCGGGAGTTGGACTTTCTCGCTCTTGAGGTAGTAGGGGGAAAGACTATCCCAGGTCTAGTTATTGTTCCCGAGGGCCTGAAGGGCGTCGATCTGAGCGGTGTGCGTAAGCGGCACCTGATCAAGAAAAATTGTTGCGTTAATCACACTCGCTGTTTCTTGAGGATGAAAAAGCCGAGCAGGTAGCCAACCATTCATCGGACTTGTGTCTCCGAGCGCCCTTCCGGCACACATCACCTGGCGGCGGTTGCCGAATTTCTGTTCGGTAGTCTGGTATGCCCAGTTTAGCGGGCTGTCGTAGGTATAGTGTAGACGCGATATATCCGTGACATTGGGGTTGTTGAGCTCGATTTATCTCGAGTCGATAATGAGGACGTAGACGGCTAGATCTTCCGACAAGCGGTTGGCGACCGTTAGGCCCGCCGTGCCGCCACCGACAATGATATAGTCATAGCTGGTAGCTGTCGCTGCGTTTGTGGCTGTCAGGACTGTGATAAGTGGTAGGATCAGCAAATAATGCATCATTGAAGTTGAGTAGGGAGTGGTGGAGGTGATGGGTGTGACGAGTGCCTAGCGAAGGGGGTGTCTGCGAGACCTTTATAGGCAGACAATCTCTGTGGATGAGAACATCTCCTCAGCCTATCCTCTCACCCCATCCCTTTCCAAACCACGATTTCATGCATTCATGCAAGCAGAGGTGTTCATGTGACGCAAGATCGCCGTCGCCCGAAGAAGGATGCAGCAGGGGTGTGGAGGATGGAATCACGTTCGCTACGATGATTTGAACAAGTGAGGCGACAGGTTGGTGAGGTTGAGGCAGGAACGGATATCTGCTCGTAACGTTCGCTATGCGGGATGTTGTGCTATGGATTCACTTCATGCATAATCGTATGTGACTCCGAGTCTAGCAGTGGGAAAATTTGCTTCCTACTCCATGGCAAGCTTTGGCTCATGAGGTACAACATCGATCTACCCCGGTTGACCCTCTTCCTCTTCCTCATTCCCAACCTCCGTCGCGACTCGTTGCTTTTCTGGCAGAAATGATCTTCTGCAGAAAGCCGGTTGCAGTTCAATGCATGGGCAGTAACGGTGTAATAGGCATTGGGATAAAAGCCCAATTAGTGTAATGTCAATGCGAGTGGAAGCAATGCGACCCGTCTCAGATCATTGACCACACAAAGCTAAGATTGTGCTGTGTATTGGCCAGTATGCAGCATTTTTAGGGGAAAAGATCATCGCTGGTGTGTCCAACCTCCACAAAATCATGCCGACTGTGAGAAGCCTAGAGAGCTGCTTCCATTGCCACATTCGGTACGAACGCCAGGCAGCTGCAGGATTTACTCGAAGTTCCCCCGATGTATCTCAAATTCTCAGAGCGAACTCATATAGCTAGTCAAGTAGAAGGCTACGGACGAATAGCCTCTATACTTGGCTTGATCTTATCGAATGAGGTCGCGTACACCCTCGGCGACCACTGTTCTCGTCGCGTCCTCTGCACCCTTGGCAGCAAATGACAATTCTGCGGGAAGTGATTCAATGAGAGTCCGAGACAGCAGACTCGCATTCCACGGACCTTCTTGGTGAGGGTAAGACTGCAGCAATCGGATCGCTCGCCACCGCTGCTCGGGATCAACGGTGCGCTTCGCGATAGCATATAGCGATGGGATAACGCCGATGTCCAGGCTAATTTGTGGGAGATCTGAGGAATCCTTCTCGCACTGCTGAATTTCTGCGGCGAGAGCCAGCATTATCTCGAAGTCATCTGTGAACTCATGGAACTCCGGCGTTCGAGTCGATACCGGAAGGCTGAGAATCGCGTTCCTAAGCGCGTGCGCTTCAAGTTGGAGAAGCTTCAAGCCTCGGTTTTCTTTGGCGGTGAGCACCCGGCCCGGTTGATCGTTGAGATTGGTCACGAACATCAGGAATAAGCTTAATCGATGGATAATGCAAGTTTGCTCACTGACTGCTGACTCAGACTCGTCATAGCCCGTGATAGCCTGCCGTCGACAGAACCGAAGAACAGCGCCGGCGAGCGGTTCCATGATCTGACGGACTTCTGTAACAGTCCAGCGGCCATTCTTGACGTTGTTGTGCGGATACATGTCAGAGTAGAGTGTGGCATCATCATCATCGTCTATGACCAGGATTGGTCCTTCAGATCCAAAGCAGCCAGCCTAATTCTCAAGATGTGCGAAGGTCTGAGTCAGGGAGGGCTCTAGGGGTGTCTCAACACCACTCGCTACTTTAATTTGTTGGTCTCGCAGAATTCTGAGGCCACTCCACAGGTGTCGGAAGGCGTTGTCGTAGTGCCCTAGGGTAAATTCTGCTGCCACGAAAAGAAGGCAGCATAAAAGTACTGTGACGGTGTACTGTGGATCCTGGGATGCGTGTCGCCGCCGAAGTTGCTGGAACGTCCGACCCATCTGCTCAAAAGCGAACTGTTGCCAGCGCCGGCTCTCGGTTTTGGCCCTGGGTATTAAGCTTTCTCTCTGGCGCGATTGGACGCCGCAGTGCACAGCGCTGAGCGCAATGGAAGCGTGGCAGACAGCCGAATCAGCATGACCGATCTGCAAGCTCAATATCTCCCAGAGAACCGAGTCATGAAATCCGGCCAGAGTGGGGACGGTGCAATGCTGGAAGAAGCTGAAGCCGCGTCGCTCCTCTGAGGTTAAAGCAGCCAGAATGCCAGGCGCTGTGAGCTGAGGAATACCAGTCTTTGTAGCGAAGAAGGGCTTATGAGAGACTTGGGGCAGATCGTAACCGTCACAGTGTCTCCCTGTGCCACGGGAGATTCGTCGCATTTGACACGACGGTATCTTGAGAGGCGGGGGATCCAGGGTGAGTCGATTGAACGAGGTCAAAGAGGGGAGGGATTAGGATTAAGCTAAGGAACTAATCGGCAGGTTCGACATCCCGACTTGGATCTCTTAGCATATGCTTTTTGTCACTTGACTGGGGTTATGGAGGGATCAGGCATGTTGGGAAGTTGGCCGAAGGAGCGTGGAACCTGGAGCCTGAGGGGGTGGAACAGAGACCGGTGGGAAAGCGGGCCGACGCGTCCGTGAACATTCGCTTTCCTTCCTTCACCACCCCGCGTGGTTTTCGGACTCGGAATACAGAGTGGAGAAAACACCCTACGTTAAACTTGGCCCTGACGCTATTGGAGACTTTCAGTGCAGTGCGGCATGAGAATGCGATCTTACTTGCCGCGATACAAAGAAGGCTGTGAGAATAGCCGTTCCAGTGAGTCGCTGCTGACAATCTTCGTTCGTTCTTGGATACTATCTCCGATGCAAGCAAACACTAGCACCGTGGACCAGGACAGAGAGATCGCCGTGATGAACAACTCGAATCAGAATACATGGCACCAGATGTATAGAAGGAACCAACCACTATAACCTCTACCTGAATTCATGTCGAGCATTGATTCTCGGAACATCGCCCGGTGATCCTCATTCCAGCTGGCAAATTCCTGGAATATTGCAACATCTGAGTCCCATCACCTTCAGTATTAAAATATACAATCCCGGATCCCGATGCCTCCAATCAACCTTCAAACCAACCCATTACATATTAAAGGTAAACCCATCCGCCAACAGAAAACAATCAAGTGGTCCCGAAGATGACCGTGACCGACAACTTCCAGAGCGAAAGCTACAACTTCGTGGACCGGATCTTCGCGAAGGCGGAGATCCCCCACCGTCTGTTTGGCTGGCCGTCGGCCCATGAGTTCGGCATGGAATTCGGCCCCGTGCCGTCCGTCTCCTGCAGCTACACGCCCCCCGGTTGGATCATCCCCGACGACGAGATCGACCGCGCCATTTGGGCGCTGCGGGCGGCGGGACTGCGGCCATGTCCTCAGGGACGAAAATGCCCCATGGTGTGCAGTCCCTGGCTACCCCCGACGGACGTGGTCCATTTCCACCGCACCGAGAGTGATGCGCAGGTTCTACCCCAGCACCCGCAGCTGCTCCGTGTGATTCGGCTCTATCGGAAGTCGGAATATCTGTGGTATACTGGCTTGTAGAACGGCAAGAGTTGGGGTTATTCCTTTTAGTCGGTTTGGACGTTAATTATTTACTCGATTTGATAATAACCAGACATCGAATCAATTATTCTGCTTTCTGGAACATTTATCTCTTTTGAAATTCTTCTTCGTGTACTTGACATCCGCAGTTATACATTGTTTTCATGGTTCATCATCCCTGCTTTCCTTTCTGTTTCGACGTAGTCTTAGATGACTAGGAAGCAGAGGTACTTCTGTCACAATTCATTTTGTTGAGATAGCATACCAAAAAAGTCTTAGTCTTGACCCTCAGTTATAAGTAACTTGTTATTTTGACTATCAAAGACACTTATCATGTTTGGCATGGCAACTGAGTCTATGAGATTTGACGGTTGATGGGCTAGTTATGTCTTTTAGCGGATAACATCTCCAGCACATTTAGTCCGTCTTTAGCTTTGATGAAAAGGGGCTTGTTCTAGAAAAAAATCTAATGAGAATCGATCCGCTTATTATTAGACTATGACGAGACTCGGTTAAGAAGAATAAGCGTTCCTGACTTCGAGGACGGGGACAAGTGATACCCAGCCACGTGCGGATATCTGAGCGGAAGTTTCAACATGGCCGCGGCGAACGATGAGCATCGTGAGTACCGTCATATTTTTCCCAATAGCGGATTTTCTTCTCATAAAATATCTCCGAAGTATGCCAGCGCCGAAACTTCTTATTATTTCATTCCCATTCTGTCTCCGTTGTCTCGAAGTCTCCTTTCACGAAGCTAAGAAGCCAGAGAGGTCATATGATTAAAAGCTGCCGTGAACAAAAACGAGATGAAGAGGAGAGGGGAGAAGCTCGTGGAAGAAGTCTTACATATGTTCTCGTCAGTGACAGTAGTAAGTCCAATATAGAAGATATAGCCGCCGGGAAACCGACCCCCCGGGCCCTTGCTTACTCTGAGTGGATCCGATCAGAACCTGAACATGCTCGCACTTGACCTCGGCAAGCTTTTCATACGTCGCGAGGCATTCAGTCGCTTGCGGCCATACTGTGTCTGTAGCTTGAGCAGCCTGTTGGCTTACTGACTTCCATTCCGTGCCGGTGAGCGGGATTTGGCAGCGTATTCGGACGATCGCTTGCGATCCGCGCAAGATATCACGGCAGAGAAGTTCACTCGAAACGTCCGGCTGGACGCCCTCCCGGGCGGCTTTAGCTTCATTCATGTCGTAAGGGCTCTCGTCGACGACCTCGACCATTGATATATGGATCTTCTCCTCGGTATTGGGGCCCTCGAGGGTGATTTCGTCGGGGGCGAGAGAGGGGATCGCTTAGGACCGAATTGTAGTCATCTTGAGGGTTCTGAGGGAGGTAAAGACGGTGATATTGGTATTTGATTAACTGTAGAAAACTTAGAAGAGCGTTGAAGATGAAAAGTGAAGAGAGAGTCAGGGAGGGGGAGGAGAAATGAGTAAGGTGGTCGAGAAACGACGACAGGATAAGGAAAGTCTTGAAGATGAAGGACCAGATTTTGGACCATTGAATGCGTTTATTGCTCTTCGGGGTATTTTGACACGCCTATGCGGAGAAAAGCAGCTGGAATAAAGTCATGGAGACGTCGAGGCGGAGGAAGATGCAGAACGAAGCAAGGTAGAAGAATGGAAGAATGAGCAATTCTTGCCTGGGTATAGTTTCTAGAAGACTCACAAGCGAGGTGAAGCTTCGCGAGAGGCTTCATTTACATAATTGAATCGCCAGATATTGCTTAACAACAAGACTCTCTAGCCCCCTTATCCTGGCATATAATCTTTTGAGCAACTAGCAGCACAAAAGATTCTTATAATCTCTCCATCGGGCGCTTCTAATTCCCCGTGTACATCCAGACTATACCTTCCCTTTCCCCAAGCATGTGACAGCATGACATAATCACCGCACCGCAGTTTCCGAGGGCGCGCTTTTCTGCTGCCGCCGCCCGCCCGTTCGCCCGCCGCAGCTTCACTTTCTCTCCCCGCGATAGCTTCATGAGCTTCGAAGCTCTACCCACCCCAATCAATCAATTCGGATCTACTCTATCTCACGAGAGCAGTGGTCAACTCTCCTACTTTTTTTTTGGAATTGGCGCGCATTTCCACCCTACCACAAGTCCACAACCCCAATTACCTGGCGCACGCGAACACTCCAGCAACCTTAACTCCGCATGCAAACCCAACCCTCCAAAAACCCATCCATCACCCCCGTCCACAATCTTCCCCGCCATCAACCCTCCCAACACTCCTGCTGAATCTCTAAGCGCCAACCACAGAGGAAAAAAATGGCCCACTCCAAACGCAACACCTCCCTCCCGCACTTCACGGCCTACGAGCGCTCCCTCCTCCGCTCCGCTTGGGGCACCAAGCGCAGCGTGATCGGCCGCGACTCCTTCCTGCCGTTCGGGTCCTGCCGCCTGTGCCTCCGCCCGGCGCGCGCCCCTGTCGTCGCCTGCGCCACGGCGGGCGACCTGTTCTGCCGCGAGTGCGCCATCAGCGACCTGCTGGCGCAGCGGCAGGAGATCAAGCGGTTGGAAAAGTCGCGCGAGGAGGCGCGGAAGCGGTTGGCGGAGGAGGAGGCGCGCGCTCTGGAGGAGGTGAAGGGGCGGGAATTGCGGGAGTTTGAGCGGGTGAGTATGGGGTTGGAGGCCGCGGGTGCTTCGTCTGTGGGGGCGGGGAAGGTCCAGAAGGCGGTGGCTGTGGGCGGGGGGTTGGGGACGCCTTCTTCTACTGCTTTGGTGGCTACGGGGGGCAGTAGTGGGAATAAGAGGAAGGTCGAGGAGGAGGTAGGGGCTGCTGTTGATGGGGAGGGGAAGAGGAAGAAGGTGTTTGCGTTGGATGAGAAGATTGTCGCCAAGGTTGCGAGGGAGGAGCAGGAGAGGTTGAGGGAGGAGTTGAGGAGGGAGAAGGTTTGTGTCTTGCCTTTCTTCTTGGTTTCGGGGATGCGGATGGTAGGGTGGTTTAGGCTTGCTAACGTCTTTCTGCTGCATTAGGACGCAAAATCCGCTCTCCCCTCGTTCTGGGTCCCGAGTTTGACGCCCTCGACCGATCCGGATGAGATTGCTGCCAATAAGACGGTCAAGTTGACGCCCATCTGTCCCGCTTCTACGGAGACGAATAAGCATGGGTACTCGCTCAAGGCGTTGGTGGATGTGCATTTTACCGAGGAGAAGGGCTCCGGGGGTGAAACTACGAGGGTGTGTCCCAGTTGCAAGAAGACGTTTACCAACGGATTAAAAGCTATGCGTATGTTCCCCTACCCCTCCCTTCGCCCTGTGCTTGGACGTATACTGACTGTAAATTTTCGTTGGGTAGTGACCAAGCCCTGTGGACATGTTATCTGTCAACCCTGCGTCAACAAATTCATGACCCCCCACGATGCGCCAAATCCGCACGCCACCAAGGAGGAACAGGACCAGACCGCGGCGCTACACGGCCGGATCCTTTGCTATGTCTGCGAGACGGACATCACTCCCGAGACGAAAGTGTCTGCGAGCGCGAGCAAGAAGAAGAAGAAGGATAAAGAGGTGATCTCGCCCGGGTTGGTCGAGATCAGTTCTGAAGGGACGGGCTTTGCTGGGCGGGGCGGGAATGTGGCGACGAAAGAGGGGGTCGCGTTCCAATGCTGAAGCTCGCTAAAGCTCGTTGCATGGGAGCGAGAAGCCGGGTTTGTCCAGGTGTACATTATAGATTTGGGGCAGAGCACCGGGCATTACAGCTTGGATAATGGGGGCTGTTTTTGACAAACCAAAATCATATACATGTCCGACATTCGAAAAGCCGCGCGGACGAGGGAATAATGCTGATATGATACCCAAATACATCTAGAGTACATGAAACCCGGCACCCTTTTACCTTCTTTCAATCCTTCCAGGTGATTAGACCTGACTACACCGCCCACACTTAGGACCGCTTGGAGGCGTTGTTGAACTCGCGCACAACGATATCACACTTAGTCTCCTGGCACAGACGCTTGCGACGACCGGCCTCCAGCTTGGCGGCAAACTCCAGGCCACTGGCGCGCTCCACAGCCTCGAGGGGCACCTCAAAGTCGGCCAGACGCTTGTCGTTGGGGATCCGGGCATTGGGCAGGACAAACGCGCCGAGGGCGACCTTACCCGCCGCCGCGGGCCCTTCCTCGGCGTAGATGACCTTGTAGAAGTGGGTGGGAACGGCAACGTTGGGCGGGTTGCCGATGACCTCGTAGGAGACGCGCCACTTGCCATCGGCGGGGTCGCGGGTGGGCAGGTACAGGGGACCCGTGACGACACGCACCGACGGGTACTTCTTGGTCAGCCCGCGGCAGAAGTCCTCGAAGTGCGCCCAGTAATCCCGGTTGAAGCCCTCGCCCACCTGCGGGCACATGTTGCTCAGCGCAAAGGTCCCGTCCATCGCATCCTGCGACCACTTGCAGTCCGCCGCCGGCACCTGGTGGCCCCGGTCGTACCCGGACCGGAAGTAGTCTGACAGCTTCGCCCGGAACATCGGCGGGATCGTCGTGTCCTCGAAGAACGTGCTGTTCTTGCGGTCCGCGTTCTTCATCGCCAGCGACTGCGGCGTGATGTGTTCTGCCACCCAGGATGGGTTGCGCGTCCGCCGGTCGTAGGCGCCCGCGAGCGGCGCCGAGATCAGCGTGTCCGCTACGGGGCCGGGGAAGCCATATTGGTAGATGCCTGTCGGGTCGACGGGCGAGAGTCCCCCGGCGGTGGTGGGCTTGGGGGCGAGGGTGGGAGGAGCGGGAGGGCGGATGGCGGTGGGGGAGGGCGCAGCGATGGGCGACGGGGGAGGCGGGACTTGTTGCTGTTGCTGTTGAGGTTGCTGGGGTCGCGGAGCGGAGGATGAGTAGAAGAGAGCCGTCAGACCGGCACCGGTGGCTGCACTGGCCGCGGCGATCGCGGCGAAAGTGGCCTTGGACATGGTGTCCGGTAGGAGGGTGGGAGGGAGGTGGGGGAGAGAGAAGGGATGAAAAGGCGGAGAGAGGGAGAGGAAGAGGTTGAGGTTAGGATGGAAGAAGGCGAAGAAAGTCGGACAAAAATCGGATCTCCAAAAACAGTCCAGATCGCAGCCCCGTCCGCGTTGAACCAATCAGAGCGCGGCGATCAGATGATTCGAAGTATAAAGAAACAACAATCAACATTCAAGGGATTTCAGCTTCTATTTCAGTTTCAGCAATATTTTCATTGTTTCAATCTTCTTTCCTTTGAATTAAGTGAGGGAAGCAGGTGGCTTAAATAAAATGAAAGAAAACAATGGCCACTTGCCAGCTCTGCAGGGTTAGGTCGTGTGACAGCAGCGCGCAGACGACACAAGCTCTTTGGCACGTATGTTCCGAAACAAGTGCCATTGATTTCATATAACAGCAGCACTAATATTCTTTCAGCAATGTGACTATCTTTGGCACAGAAAGACATTATGGCTGGGCACGAATCGATTCATTGAGGTAGAAAGGTTACAAAATGCGACGCTTTCTATCGCTACATCTCAACTCAACTTCAACACAACGACTTCCTCCAGCAGTGCCAGCTATAATCAATAATTCGCAGTAGACAGTATGGTTGACCTGCTACCACCGTCAAAGAGACTTAAGATCTCCGAAGAACTTTCCCCCACTCAACAAGACCAAGTGCACCAAGTGCTTCCTGCCATCGAAAAACTCCGCGACTATAGCAACATTGGCCAATGGCTCGACGACGTCCATAGAGTACTGGAGACATGGCAGCTGGAGGAGTACATCGACCCCAGCGCTCTGAGACCTGCAACCGATGACGATGGCTACATCTACTGGGAACAACAGGCAAACGTGATCTTCTCTTGGCTGCACCTTCACATCTCGCCTACCATCTGCGAAGACCCCATTTTCGTCAGCCGCCAGCCACGACTTCCCGAAGACTTCATCAACACTGTCAGGGACGTTGTGAGCCGTGTTAGCCTGGAGACAGCCACTCATTTCTGGTGGTCAACTATCTACATGGACCCTTTCGATTATAGATCCTTTGACGGATTCTTCGCCGCATTCAGAGATTTGGCGAAGCAGGCCATTTTGGTGGGAGTCATCACCCCTTATCAAGCGTTCTTCGTCTTGCACCGGCACCTCCCGAATCTGGAGAATGTTTTCACACTGCCTTATGCCAAGTACAGTGACACCATTCATTGCTTCGGCATGGCTGGCGAATGCCCTAAAAATATGACCGAGGAGACATTCAACTTGTTCTGTGAGCACATTGAAGAGCTTCCTCGGAGCGCTTATTGGACCTGGAAGCGCGTGGGTAAGCAACGAATGTTGTCGTGAGGAGCAGCTATAAGATTAGATTCCATAGAATTTTCAGGGGCTATGCCTAAATACATTGCGCATACACAAGATGCTTTGAATCTGAACGCTGCATCGATTTGAGCCATTTCAAAATATTTCGGCTCTAACGACATATCTGGATTTTTCTATTTGTTGCTAGTTATGACGCTTTTCTGAAGCAGGGATTCGCCCCAAATGTCCGAATCTCCTAAAAGCTTCTTGTCCCCCAAGCCATGTATATGCCAATACATTTGACAGCCATACGGCTGCTTTTAATCGTTATCAGGACCAGACATGAAGGTTTTCATAACTTTCAATTGCTTGTAAAGACTGTCCTTGCTGACTGCTTCGGAGATATCCTTGCCTGTCCAAACTGCTAATAACACTCAGTGGCACGAGAGCACCATCCAACAGGAGAACAATTTGTCCCCCACTGTCCTCTTACCCTTCCTCGCCCCTACCCTCCAGCCCTTATCATCCACACTATACCATCGTCCACCACTCAACTATCAACACATCAAACACATCATACCAAACATTTTGTCCCTCAAATACACACATTCCGAGACGAGCAGATATGACAGTCTCTATAAGTTATACAAATCACCGAGTTGAAGCATCTGCGATGAGCACAAGCGTTCAGCCTATCGTCCGCCTGAATGTCATTGGCAGATCGCTGGGATTCACCGTTGCCGTAGCCGCCGGTGCTGGAGTCCCCACCTTGCGCATCCTTCTGGTCCTTCTCCGCAGCCTCCCTGGCGTCGAGGTCGGCAAAGACTTTGTCGAGTTCCGCGCAGAGAGCGTCACCGGCTACAGCCACCACAGTCCCGTCTTCGGTCTGCTTCAGCATGTAGCCACCGTCTTCCTCGTGCAGAAGGGTGTATTGATTCTCAAAGGTGATCTGGTTGAGCTGCTCGCGGGTCTCGGCCACTATAGCCCCAGAGGGCACGGGTTTGGAATAGCGGGTGAGAGACATGGCGGAGCTTATGGAGATGAGAAGGAGGATTAGAAGGCTTCTGACAGGGAGGGTAGATGGAAGCATGATTGCAGGGTTTTTTCAAGTGGACTTGTTTGCTTGGTTGGTTGTTTTATGAGCGTACCTCAATCTAATCACGGTAGTTATCAAGGAAGAGTGGATGTTGATAATCCTTTCTTCTGATCGATCGGAGAAATGGGAGGTGCTTTATAATTGTAGACAAGAAGATAAAGCGTACAGTGATTTCAGCTCAAGTTCAGCTGGCACGAAATCCTTGTGTAGCTACTACAAGGTGAAGCTGGGGATTCCTGCTACTGTTTACCTCAAAGCCTCCATCATGTGACGGGCCTGTAATACGTCACTCGGCCAGTGTCCGTTTGCTCTCCTTCCCTCCTCGACCTCCACTGTATAACTTCCTCATCTTCGTTATGACGCCTTGAGGGTACTTTCAAGTTTCTTGGTGCCAATGTGCTTACTTGGTACTCGTTCTCTGCTTGCTGTCTCTACTTCACTGCTAGGATTGTTAAAGTTATTTGCGATGTCGCGGAAGCTGTGGCATTTGTACCACTCTTGTACCTCTTCGCAGCTGAGAGCCTGATGAATTCCGACTCATTCGAGGCCGTTTGGTGCCAGCTGACTTCGAATATCCCCTGTTTGCCGGCGTTGATGCAAGCTCTGATCACCCTCCGACTCAGTGCATTCAGCTCACCACCATCAACTCGGAGAACGAATCGGAGGATAAGTCCCAAAGTCAATCATATCCCTCATACCGACAAACTCCTACTGAGCCGCTACGACTGCGGTTATCGGCTTACTTGCCATAGTACATACAGTGATGTCAATGTTCAACATCGATGCCTTTGTCATGACCATGGCTGTGCCATGCTAAGTAGTTGAGCCTGAGATCAGAGTTTCTGACTCCGTGTCTGTGTCTGCTCAGAAATGCGTTCTCATTGTAAGCTCTTTGCAGTGGCGAGTCTTCAATCTCTATTGTCCTGATTGCATTCGAGGTGTTACTTACTGGGGAAATTGGATTCTTGGATTATTGTTAACTTGTGGCCACTGGAGGCGTAGGACCCTGCATAGAATCGGCAAGCCGCTGTCGAACGACTTGACCTGCTCAAAGCCAAACTATACAACCCGGTACGACTGTTCCTGAAGGAGTTGAAGATATTAGTCCAGTGACCAGGTTTCGGACAGCTGTTGTGGCTGAGACCAACAGGCACTGTGTAGCTCTTTGTCCCGTCAAGCGCCGCTCTGCCAATCAAGATGTCTTCGCTCAATAGCCTTGTTTCGACTCTTTTGGGTTATGATACTCAAATCTGAGCTGTCAGAGGATATTTCTCTGCCACAGACAAGGTAATTGCATTATAGTAGTCGATGCTACAAGTATAATTATATCTTGAAGATGAATAGTTTCCGGGCTCGGTCACAAGTTCACTTCAGTGATCTCCCACTGCATAGAGTTTTGTCATGTTCATTGAAGACTCGAAAACATCTCCAACTCCAACTTTTTACTGCACTAACATCTGCCTGCGCGGTAGTTATGCGGTTCCAACTCGTTGTCCCCATCGAAGTGCCAGCGTTATACCCCGGCAGCGCGGGCTTGAAGCCTTGATCATTGCACCGGCCATTACCCAGGAAGCCGATTCTACACACTGGATCTCACATCAAATCATGGTAGAACATTTTGAGTAAAAGGAGAATTGCAAGGTCAAATGGCGACGTGCTCTCGAGTAAGAAGGCATTGCAACACAACTGGTTCGAATGAACAGAGAAAAAAAAGCTGTGTGGATCAGACGTGACGTCCTTAAGAAGCTAAAGGGGGGACGGCTAGCGATGAAACCAGCCCAATGCTACGGAAATGCTGGGGATCGCCACTGGACAGAATTTGGGGATGGTGTATACCCCACAAAGTGTTCATTCTTCGTTCTAGGGCTGGATGGTCGCTGATCATCACCGCTAATAGTTCTTTACCCTCTTAGAGTCTAGGAAGGATGCATGGATGGTGATCAGAAAGAGGCTGTAGGTATGAGTCTCCACCCTACATAACTCAGATGATCTAGCAACGTTTTTACAGTGGAGTTCGCTCGTTTTTGTACCCGGACTAGGCACGATACATTCGTATTCGTACGCTTGCCCCAGAATGGATGTTCACCAACCCTGGGATGCCTGCAGTTTCACATCTAACAATAATAGCTCATTGATGATCGCCCATTATTACAAGGGGTTCTCTCTGAAATTCTGATGTAGTCTCAACTGAGTCGAATGCAGTACAGTACATATCCTGCTGGGCTCCCATGCATTTGACACTCCTACACTACACTACCTCTCTACACCCATCATGTCGAGTGGCTACAAGCTCTATGATTACAAACCTTCCGTGGGCGCGGCCATAGTCTTTGCTGGAGTGTTCGCCGCAACCTCTGTGCTGCATCTGTTCCAAATGATCCGCAGGCGGACCTGGTACTTTACACCCTTTATCATCGGTGGTTTCTGTGAGTTCTCTTGACCTCTTTCCCTGCCAATATCATCGCCGGGACTTGGCTAATATGCTGAACTATTCCATTTCTCTCTAGTCGAAGCATTTGGCTATGTCGCGCGATGGTACAGTGCCAAACAGACCCCGAATTGGACGGTGATGCCATATGTCGGTCAGGAGCTGCTGCTCCTCCTCGCCCCCTCCCTCTTTTCCGCCTCCATCTACATGCTGCTGGGACGCACAATCCGTCTAGTTCACGGGGATTCGCGCTCGCTTATCCGACCGAACTGGTTGACCAAGATCTTCGTGACGGGAGACGTGCTCTCTTTCTTCATCCAGAGCGGAGGTGGCGGCATGATGGCGAGCGCGAAGTCGGCCAGCAGTGTTTCTCTGGGCAATCGGATTATCGTGATTGGTCTCATCGTGCAGCTGGTGTTCTTCGGCTTTTTCATCCTCGTCTCCATGATTTTCCATCGCCGTATGACCGCTTCCCCGACCACGACCTCCCTCTCCATCAGCAATCCCCCATGGTACACCTACATGCGCGTCTTATATGTTGCCAGCATTCTAATCATGGTCCGTTCGATCTACCGTGTGGTGGAATATGTGCAAGGGTCCACGGGAGTGCTGCAGCAGCATGAGATCTACCTTTACATCTTCGATGCGGTGCTAATGTTGTTGGTGTGTCTCCTGTTCAACATTATGCACCCAAGTCGCATTCTGTCCAGTCGCCAACCATACGGCAAGATGGACTCGGATCAGGTCGAGATGCTGGATCCGCGGATGTGATTGTTAAAGCGGTCGGTCGTGTTTTTGATGGTTCTTGGGTCTCGGTTTGTTGTTTTCACGCCCACAGTTATTGCTCGGATTCTCTTTTTGTTAGTTGATACAGTTTGGTGTAGCGCTTCTGCTTTTCGTCATTCTTTGTGAATAGAGATCTTATGGGGTTACCTTCTCTGGATAGGGTTTCGTCTGATGTCCGTGAGAGCATTGTGTCGGGTCTCGTACCGATTACTCGAAGCAGTTAGCCGGTTCCTACTGCTTTCGGAAACCCCAATTCTAGACAGCTTAACTATGGTTGCCTAGAATAGACTCATAACATTACTGGTCAAACCGTGGCTTGGCTAGAAATGCTAGAACTGTTGACTTGTAATATTTCTAAGCCGAAAGGATCTGACTGTAGGGTTCTTGAGTAAGAGTGACGACTGTTATTCGGAAAAAGAAGTTCCATCAGTGCGTCAAACACGTGTCGCTCCTACGACTAGATGTCTTGGTATGGTAAAAACCGAAAGAAAGAATACCTACTTAGTAACGAGCAGAAGAACCCCTAAATATAGGTGCACGGGGTAGAATCCCAGTCTCAGTCAAAATCTGATTCCCTCCACTGTGATCGCCACTCGATTGTAGAATAAGGTACTGCCGGCGCAGCGTCCGGCCCCGCTGAGGAACCTGGGCTCAGACACCCAACTTATTGTTTTTATAGATGACAAGATGGGGTAAGGGCTTTCTTGGCTGGTTGCGCATCGTACAGACGTAATGTCGCACCAGGTCCACGTCTTGTGTGTGTATTTTAAATCCGCCTTTTCTCTCATGCGCGGAGAATGACTTTTTTATCATTAAGTCAGTGGTCCCTTGTTCACTCTACCCGACTTCTCCTTTCCTTCTTGACCCGTTTAGCTTATCGGCATACCTCCTCTCACCTCCCCTGTACCAACTACTCACCCAAATTCAGCTACCAGAGAGAGAGCGAAAGAACAAATGACCACCCCCAACAAAGTCGACGACAATGACAACGAAACGCATCCAACAAACGAAACAACATGGCTCAACACCATCCAAGCATTCCTACGCTGGGCCGTCACCCCGCTGGGCTTCTGCATCACCATCTACGGCCTGAACGTGGTCGCCTGGGGCGGGATGCTTTTCCTGTTGCTGTGCAATGCGGCGCCAGCGATGTGCCACCCCAGCTGCGACGACCCGTACTCGGCGCGCCGCATCTGGATCGAGATCGACTCGCAGATCCTTAACGCCCTCTTCTGCGTCACCGGGTTTGGCCTGGCGCCCTGGCGGATTCGGGATCTGTATCTGTGGTGTCTCTGGCGTCTCGGTCGCTCGCCGCGCACTCGCCAAGGGGGACTGGTCCGGCTTGCGGAGATCCATAGCAAGTGGTTCTGCGGGACACCGGTCCCCGTAGATGAAGACGAGGAGAAGGCGGCTGCGGGGGCGGCAGCGCCAGTAGCAGCAGCAGCAGCAGCCGCAGCCGCAGCAGAAGCTCAACGCACCCCCACCCCGCTGTGGAAAATGGATGTGGTGGTCTGGGGCAATATCCTCAACTCCGTCTTTCAGGTCTGTCTGGCCGTGTGCATGTGGGCGATGGACCGGTTTCATCGGCCTAGTTGGACGACGGGCCTGTTCGTGGGCCTGGCTTGTTTGGTTGCCGCTGGCGCGGGGGTTGTTATGTGGTTGGAGAAGAAGCGCATCCATAAGGCTAGCGAGCACCCTGGGGCGCTGTTGTTGGTGCCACCAAGTGCCGGCGCTGCCAACCCTGGGAATGGTTATATGCATCTGGATCAGGGAGCGTCTTTGTCATCTTGATATCTTTCCGGTTGATAGATTGCTCTGGGGATTTTTCTTGATTTCTTTTTACAGCGAACGGAAATCTGTTTTGCTTGATGATTCTTTCTGATGTTTTTTGTTGGTGATCACATGGAGTTCTGGTACCTATCTCTGCGGGCTTTACGATATAAATGCCGCTCGGGGAGTCACTCTTTCACTTGAGGGTATTTTGACATGCATGAATGCCATATTGCGTATAACAACCTTCATACCGTTTCTACTTGGGTGGTGAGGGCGCATCCCCATACTATGTGCACAGTTCGACCCACTTTCGTACTCGTACTCGTACCGTTGCCTAGATGGAGAGGAACAGTAGAATGGGGAAAAGACCACCATGGTTTTTTGTCCTGACTTGCAACCAGCCCTATCTCAAAGTGGAACAAGGATGAGCTCTCCCATCAGCCTTACAACAGCTTTGTGGCTGAGAAAGTAATAGCAAGGTGAAACCGGACGCTGACCGAATAGAGCGTTGCATTTAGTGACGAATTGAACGAGCTAAGTGGAGTAGCCGTGGGAGGCGAGACGGGAAACACAATGGTCTTACAGGGCAGAACTAAGAGTTGCAGAGCAGTAGTCGAAATTGTAACGAGTGAGGGCTTAGGCAATGAGAATTGATTCTCTTATGTTTTATAGAGTATATCCACTTAGTCAGTGGGTCCAAGGATGTTATGCTCTTCTTTTACTATCATCTTATATTCTTTGAACTCCAGCATTCGATGTTCTACTACATCTAAGGCTCTTTAACTTTGACTTGGCTTTATAGGTGTCTTATTTTACTAAGAGCCCCCTCATTAAGCAACAAGCAACTGTATCTTCCTTACCACACATTTATGGGTGTTATGAACACCCTCTTTTCGCATCTTTCTGAGCTTGATCGGCTCCTAGGCATCCAGCCACAATAGTTCAGTAGCTTGGACTGGTAAATGAACTAGTACTAGCATGTTAGACATGTCAGGTACCATCTTATCAAGCCTTTGCTTAGTCTTTTCTCTATTCGTTCTCACATCATTGTTCAGGGAAATGTAATTCTCTTACTATTATCTGTAATTCCCTAGTCCTAAACCATTTGTTGTTCTACCTTACATAATACTTGTCTTGATGCAAGCACACTCACGTTTGGATATTTTGTATGATGTTAGTTTGTAAAGCATTCTAACCGGGATCGATAGTACTATCATGGCACATAAAGCAAGTCTTTAACGAAGTATTCTGTCATTCTCAATCTACTCGGAATTATTATGCTGCAGTAGAGACACAATACCCTGAGAGAAAGACCAATTGGTCTACTAATGACATTGCATGTACAAAGGCCCGGAATGTCAATCACTTATACTACAGAAGGTGAATGCATATTCATCCAGATATCGAAAGCAATTGTATATCCTATTTTTATTCTGAACGCAATGTATTGCAAAGGGGAATGTCCAAAGTAGGGCTTCCAAGGTCCCCAGACCTTATCTAATCGGGAGAGCGCGTGACATGATATCATGCATTATTTAGCCTTTCCATTCCGCCCTCCGCAATCCACAGCCCCCCCCCATTCATTTCCTTTGCTTTACCAATTTTCCCCCCGGGTACCTACTCTGGGATCTCCTCATTTCTTCCTCCACTTCTGTCTCCATCTCCCTGTCGATCTTCCTTCCCTCCCTCTCCCCTCAGGCTCTTTCCCATCCCCCGCATCATGGCCGCCAGCAATGACCTCCGGGGCTGGGTCATGAGTGCCGTCTCTGGCGCGGGTAAGTTAAATCTCAAACCCATCTCCAAAATTCGCCTTCCAAGCTGATTGATTGCCTTTAGCCTGCGTCCTGGGGTCGTCCGTCATCTGTGTCGACATAGTATTGCGGCAGTTAACACGGCGAAAGGACTTTCAGATAGTCCACAACAATGCATTCTTATCAGCATCGCTCTGCCTGAGTGCAGGTGTCATGGTATCGCCGCCCTCGCCCCTTTTCGTTATAGTCGTCGGCTAATGGTCATAGCTTTTCACGTCTCTCTATAGCATGCTTCCTACATCGCATAATTACCTCATTCGCGCCGGCTGGTCTCCCTCTAGCTCGGCGTATGTGCTCATTGGGCTCTTCCTCGCCGGTGTCGTCGTCATTCGCTTCGCATCCGCCTTGCTGCACCGGTACATCCCCTCCCATGTCGTCGATTGCGCTCATTCCCACGAACCACATCCGAAGCTCGATCACCACCACGAGCACCACGAGCCCAACGGACACCATCATGATGAGTCGAACACGTGGAACGAGCGCACCCCCCTTCTGTCACGGTCCTTCAAGTCCTCCCCGGCGACCATGACCCTCCCCGAGGCGAACGCTCGCGCCCAAGTGCCTCTCCAGCGGCGGGAATCATTGCGGGATCGTCTGACGCGGCGCTTCAGCCGGATGGTGGGCGTCAAAGCTCGGTGCGACGAGAACGGGCCTTGTTTCGGGTTTTCGCAGGCGTGTGGTCATGAATGTACCAAGACACTCTTGCCGACTCCCTCGATCTCGGATGTAGGCAGTGACCTGGTTCGTCCATCTCTCAATCAGCCTCGCAGCATCACCGTCCACGGAGATGCAACCCAGCCCAGCGATCTCGAATCGGGTCTACCTCGCGTGCACGAGTCGCCCCACCATTACCACCACCACCACCACCATTCTCACCACGAGACCAGTTCCTCCTCATCGCACACGGGCCTGTTAGACGATCAGTGCGAGCCGTCGGAAGACTCCCCTCACAAGCTTCCTGTCGCAGAGACGCCGCAACATCACCACCACGTCCCGCAAAACGCATTCATGTCCATCGGGCTCCAGACCTCCGTCGCCATCGCCCTGCACAAGCTGCCGGAGGGCTTCATCACGTATGCGACCAACCACGCGAGCCCGACGTTGGGGTTGACCGTCTTCCTGGCGCTCTTCATCCACAACATCAGCGAGGGGTTCGCCATGGCCCTGCCCCTCTACCTGGCCCTGCACTCGCGCGGCTGGGCCATGTTCTGGTCCAGTCTGCTGGGCGGCATCAGCCAACCGGCGGGCGCGGGCCTCGCCGCCCTCTGGATCTGGGGCGCCCGGCGCGCCAACGGGGACGATGGGACGGCCGGTCCGTCGTGGGGCGTGTACGGGGGCATGTTCGCCGCCACCGCGGGCGTCATGACCTCGGTGGCGCTGCAGCTGTTCAGTGAAGGGCTGACTTTGACCCATCATCGGGGCATGTGCACGGGGTTCGCCATTGGCGGGATGGTTCTGATGGGTCTCAGCTTTGCGCTCACGGCATGATATTTCGTGCATCGTCGGTTGGCGTTGATTCTCGGGTCTGATTAGGCCAGAAAAGAAAAACTGCATTCTTGTTTCATAAGGGTTGCACTAGACAGAATTACTTCAAGAGATAGCATTGTTCAAGCGGAGTGACTTTTTGCTTTTTGTGATGTTATGAAATGACGTGACGAAATTGGGTTCCGGGCTGTCATGATGGGTTGATTGTTTGTTTCTTGGTTGTAACTGATTAGCTGGGGGATACATATATAGCATTACCGGTATATTCACAATTCGGTCTCATATTATCGTACAGTTTATAGGGAATCACTAGCCACTAGCCACTATATACCAGCGCCTGAAGTATAGGTTAGTACAGTACAAAAGTACAGTACTAGGAGGCTTTCCCCTTGGCAGCCGCCGCCGCCGCCTCGCGCTCCTTCTTCCGGGCCAGATATCTCTCCCGCGCACTCGAGACATCGCCCTGAGTCTTCAGGCTCCGACTGCGTTCGGCGATCTCCTTCTGCCGCGCCGCCTCGGCCTCCTCCTCCTGCCGCGCCCGCTCCTCCAACTGCGCCGCGATCATCTCCGTCTGTCTGGCGCGCTGGCCGCCGCGATCCGCTCCTGCTCTATTCGCGCCGAACCTCGACGTCGACGGTCCACCCACTCTCGCCCCCGCCTTGGTATCCAGTTGCGGCGCCACCTTCGGCTTCGGCGCGACATTCAACCCGGCCGACAACAGCTGCCTCTTATCCACGACCTGCCCGTCATCGTTGACGGCAATGTGCGCGCCCCGGGCATTCAACTCGGCCGCCACCTGCGCCTCCGACTTGTCCTTGTCTTTCTCCTCCCCACTCTTCTCACCTTCCCCTGCAGCAGCACCCCCAACCTCCCCATCCTCCCCCTTAACGTTCTTAGCCGCTTCCGCGGCAGCCTTAACAACAGCAGCATGCTGCTCCTCCCCGCGCGCCAACATCTCGCGATAAAACCCAACCATCCCCTTGCCCCCATTCTTCCGTCGATCTTCCTCCTCCTTTGCTTCTCTGGCAGCCTCCTCCTCCTCGATCCGCCGCATTTCCGCCTGCTGCGCCTTGTACGCGGCCGTCACGAACTTCTCCTTGTCGGCGAACTCGTCCCCTTCGGCCTCGCGCTCCTTGGCGAGCTGCCGGTCCCGGGCGCGGAGCTGGTCCCGTTTGCGGATCTCGGCGCTGCGGAGGAGGGCGGTCATATATTTGGGGACTGTCGGAGTGGACTCATCGTCGGGATGACCGGGGGTTGGTTTGGGAGCGGGTTTGGCGTGCAGGGTGTCGTAGATGCTGTCGTAGGAGTAGATGCTTGGGTCGAGGGATTCGGCGCTGCGGTGGTGTTGGCGGCTGCTGTGCAGGGCGGAGAGGTTGGTGTATTCTTTTCCGGTGGAGGTTTTGGCGGGTGGTTTGGTGGTGCTGAGTTTGGTGGTGAGGCCGTATGTCGTTGTTTCAGCGGTGGCATCGTCCGGGTCGGAGTCGTTGGCAAAAATCGAGGTTTTGGATAGGGGTTTTACTGTTGTTGGGGGTTTCGAATTGGTGAGGTTGGGTTTGCGTTTGGGTGGATGCGTATCTGTGTCGATAGCTTTGGGGGCTGGAGCTGGGGTTAGAACATCGTCGTCTAGGCCGCCGAGGGTGGTGATTTCAATGGCGCTGGGTTTCTTGTTCGCGGGCGCGGTGGTGTCCTCGTCGGAGTCGTCCGAATCGTCGAAGATGGTTTTCTTGCGCTTGTTGAGCGGTTGGTTGCCTGGTGGGGGGCGGCCACCGCTGGCTTTGGCTTTGTTGGCGAGATTGATGCCGAAGGGTGGCATTGTCTTTTGTTGAACTGAGAGTGATGTACAGTACAGGGAAGAAATACGTAGTTGGATATCAATATCGATGATGCGAGTCACGTGCTGAACCTCCGGCGGAAGATCTTATCACCACGTGATTCTCCCCTCCTCCGCTTGCTGTTCCCGTCCCTGACTGGCGCGGTGCTGCTGCTGCGGTGTGTGTTCTTCCCCGGAAACCAACACCATCTTCGTTCTACTTACTTCCCCGGCCACAGCTTCAGGGGCTGGAAAGGATCAAAATGTCCTACTACTTCACCATCCTCTCGCCCACCGACGTCCCCCTCTTCAACATCGCCTTCGGCACCTCCAAATCCGGCGGCGATGGCATCGCCCGCTTCCGCTTCCCGGACACAGCCCAGTACATGAACCAGTTCATCATCCACTCGAGTCTGGATATGGTCGAGGAGGCGCAGTGGATGAATGGGAATATGTCAGCCAACCCAGCCCCAGCCCCTGATACCCCCACTACCCCCGAACCTCACCCTCCCCTCCCCATCGGCACCCTCCTCAATTCCTCCCCCTCAACCCCAACCCAACTAACCATTCTGATCTGGGGAAAGGTACCTCAAACACATCGACACCTACCCGCCCGCCTCCGCCTACATCTCCGCCTTCCTCACCCCGTCCGGCGCCCGCTTCCTGCTGCTGCACCAGCCGCCCCAGCTGCCCAACGCCGCGGGCTCCGGTGCTAACGCCGGTGGCGGCGGAACCGGCGGTTCATCGATCCTGGGCGGCTCGTTCTCGGCGGGTTCGTCGTCGCGCGCCTCGGCCAGTTCCATCGCCGCGAACCCGACCAGTCCCCAGACGGAGGAGGCCGTGCGCCAGTTCATGACCGAGGTGTATGAGAATTACGTCAAGACGGTGATGAATCCGTTCTATCGGCAGGGGATGGAGATTCGGAGTGCCGTGTTTCGGTCCAGGGTTACGGCGGCGGGGAGGAAGTGGCTGTGATCTCTCTTGGGGGG